TTTGCATCCTCCAGTACAGCTTTAGCCTTCTTCCTTCCTCTTTCCTGCGGAGTTTATGGGGGTGTTGGCTTCCCAAAACATGTGCGGATGCAAAACAGAGTGAACAGTTTCTAAGGGCATCGAGTTTTCTTTTCTGCATATTTAAGACGTTATTTAAAAAAAACGATTGAACTTAACCGCTTTTTAAGATTTACAATTCCATTGTCAGCAGATAATAGGTTAAGTGTGTAAAGTTGTGTTCTTTCATGATTAAATGTTCTTTCGCCGTAATCCGTCGAAAAAAACGGCTTAGTGCATGTTCCATTTGCAATCCGCTAAAAATAACTTTCAAAGTGCGCTACAAAATGTTACATAACTAAACTAAAAGGAAGAACGTAACTAAAAGGAAGGCGTAACTGAAAGGAAGAAGTTTAAGTTTTTTATCTTCACCATGAAAGTTTCTCTTCAGTCTCACTAGTGATAATCTAGACTGCCTAGAGACGAAGACAATAAGAAGACTAGTGCACAATATATTATAGTCGTTGTTGGTAAATACAGCCTAGTGATCTGTATAAAAAGTGATGGGGCCGATGTTTATGTTCATGGTCTCATATATGGCAGTCCATTTGCTCAGGTAACGGTGACAAATTTTGAAAACCTGTGGAGCTTATAAGCCTCGCAGTAACCGATGCTTTGATGAATAGTGCGAATTTCTTTGCAAGCAAGTAGCCATATACGACTGATTCGTAAAAAGACTAGTGTGTGAAGTTTAAACATTATGTGAGTGTTCTTAGATTCTGAATATGTGGTGCGAAGAAAGAAAACCAAAGCTAATATTTCAAGGAAAGCTAAATAAATACTTCAATCTTAAGGTAACGAGTTTTTCGTTTACGTAATCGAAAGAAAAAAAAATAAACAGGACAGATCTTAGGGAAATCGTAATGTGTATATATAGTCTCCACTGATTCACGTACGGCAGCTCACTTGCCTTTAGCTTTGTAATCGAAATGTGCATTTTCCAGTTTGTTGCTTTCACCATAATGTGGAATTCTCGTAAGCATTCTAAATAATAGCACGAAAAATTCAATACGCAGCAGACTTGCTATAATATCGGTAAATATGTATTTCTTTGTTCACTGATGGAGGTGGTCAATCATGAATGGCTTCAGTCGTAACTGCTCTGTACAAGAATTGACGATTTCTTTTTTATATAATTAAAGCTAAACAATCATCACCGCTAGATAGTGCTTTCTTTTTTGATTGAAGGTAATTTTTATTTATTAAAGGTAACGGATAATTAGAATTGTATTTCTAACTGCCTCCTAATTGTATTTCTAACTGGCAGAGGTTTAGTGCTCATGAACTGATAATATGTTGTGTGTTTTCGGAATGGAATTGAACTGCTATTAAGGCTCTTCAGTCGTCATCCATGGCATTTCTACTATAAAAGAATGAGAAAAATGCATGAGTAGGATTTTTGAGTGGCAATTGAAGTGTTTAAGAATTTCAAAAGCGAAGAAAACTCCACAAAAATTCAGCATTTTTCTATTGAAAACGTTTCGGAGACCAGCTCCATCGTCAGTTCGGTAAATCTAGAACACAAATACAGTCAGTTAGTGTTCTAGATTTATCGAACTGACGATGGAGCTGGTCTCCGAAACGTTTTCAATAGAGAAATGCTGAATTTTTCTGGAGTTTTCTTCGCTTTTAAATTTCTAGTGAATCTGCGATTCAAGCAATCTAGTGACATTATTACTAGTGTTTAAGAATATATACACTCCGAAAAGACTGCAATCAGCTGAAGTTCCGCATTTTTGGTTTCGCTCAAATTTAGGAGGGAACACTGGTTTCATTATTCTTCCATATTAGTTTATACATTGTTTTTTTTTTTGTGCGAATATGAGGACGCAACAGAATTTCATTTATCGTGTTTGTTACTTTTTACTATCAGCAGATTTTTAGATTTCAATTAATTTTAACATATTCTTGTGTTCTGTGTTTGTTGAATAAAGAATGCAATTTGTTTGTATTGTTATTGGAATCGAAAAGATGGCGTCCAATTGGTAACTGCATTTTTGGCATTCATTCCAATTGGTAACTGATTTTGAGTTATTCATTGATATTCCAATGATAATATTGATATGCCAATGATAATGAAAAAATAATAATAAAAAATGGTAACACTGGCTATCAGCATCTGCATATAATGATAAAAATACAAACAGCCAACGAAAAAATCTTACAGGTACATGAGCGCTGAGAGTTATACTTCTGTACGTAATTGGTGCAGGGAATTTAGACGTGCAGTGATGACATGATTTGTTTTCAAATGCATTTTTAATCACCATTATGTTACCTCTGAATTTGAACCTTGACCGCCGTAGCAATACGGTAGCATCGATGAATTTAATCGTTAAACTAATTGAACAAAATATTTATGCGTACACAAATATCGAAAACTATTATAAGTACGCTAAAATTTCGGTAACATTTTGAATGATCTGCGAACTAATTACCGTTGATCATTCACTTTAAAATGGATGTGCAGGAAGTTCGAAGTTTCCCAGAGTGTGACTTTAAATTAGATAACCCCAATCGACTTCTCTGTAGAACACGCTTGGAACTGTGCCATAAGAAGTGACTGCGATAGCGTCTCCAATAGCCATGGCAATAGTGTTACCAGTAAATGAAAGGCCAATTGGGGCTTCTTGATAGCCAACGGTAGGTATTGTTCGATAGAGTTTTAATGCTCTAAATCGAAATGGAACTGAAATTTAAGATGAAATAGGAATTATGTCTTTTTAGCGCATTTTCTCATTTCTGGAAAAAAGGCGCTACTGCGCTCGTCATGTCCGTCCATCCGTCCGTCCGTGACTTCGCGGACGGACGAGAAAATGCGCTCTCTGTTACTCACTGCAGTGGAAACTGATCTAATTTTTAATTATGTATGCAATTTAAGGTTAAATAATGCTAAGAAAAAATATATCAACGTGAAAAGCTTTCATAGATTACTTTATTGAGATGTTACAGTGATTGATTTTTACTCCCGTAGTGAAATCTTCCTACCTTATTGCATTTCATGAGTTTAATCCGCAATCAGCGGTTCAGGTGTAAAATTAGTCGAGTACAATTGAGAATATAGTTATAGCTAGAAATCAAAGAAAGCGAAGAAAATTCGTAAAGAAATAATTGGGTGGTATACTATCTTAATTTTGAATACCACGTCCTACATTCATGAAGCCGAAAAAAGATCCACTTTAGCTGTAATTACGATTATACTCAACATAGCAACTTATGTGTCGCTCATACATACACACTCTCTGCTTAAGTGTCTAATTTGTGCTGCACTAGCGAGTAAACACTGGAAGAGCAACGACAAATGCGTGCGCGCGCAAAGGCTGCGAGCTCTTAAAAATTGCCTATGAAAAGAATTCTTCGTACATGAGCGATGAAGTGAGAACGAATTCATAAATTTCTTCCATTTAGGATGTCTGTTGCGCTATTCCTTGACAAATCGAAAAAGATCAGCTATACCGTCATTGAAATCAAAATAAAGCTTGGAAGGTGAGAAAAAATAACTTTGTTCTTTAGTTGTTCTTTAGTGCGCGTTTCGTTGAAAACCAAAGAATTTTCAATAATGATTTTCCTATTGTTATTTTCAATTTGGAGAATTATATTTTTGTTTGAACTTGATATAATTTTCAAGGTTTACATGAGTCATTTAATTGCTAGCTAATAACGTTTTGAATAATCATTATATCTTCTCGAGTGAAGTGAAGATTTTGAAACCCTTTAAATCCTAATATTTTTAAAGATTTGAGTGAAAACGTTGGGTATAATGGATAAAACTCAAGAATTAATGAAAACAATTACATATTCCTGGCAAATCCGGTTGTTTGTAAGCTAATAGTTAATATATCATTCTTGAAGAGAGTCTCAGCTATCACTTGTTTGGTAGCTCAGAGGCACCGCATGAGGATGATGGTGCAGGTTTGAGGCACCGCATGACGATGCTGGTGCAGGCTTGAGGCACCGCATGAGGATGATGGTGCAGGTTTGAGGCACCGCATGACGATGCTGGTGCAGGCTCTGTCTCTTATACACATCTAGATGTGTATAAGAGACAGGGCTTGGGGCACCGCATGATGATGCTGGTGCAGGCGTCGGGGCAACGCATGATGCTGGTGCCGGCTTGGGGCACCGCATGATGATGCTGGTGCAGGCTTGGGGCATCACATGACGATGCTGATGCAAGCGTCCAGACCAGCTATAGGTGATGGTATCGCTCTGTACGTGCCTCTCTCATGTGGGTTCCCTAATGGCAAGTGAGGCGGAGGCTCACGGGTTCAAACCGACTTTTGGAGAAAATTTTATCAATGAAATTGGTTCTCAATAGTAGCTCCGATTTTTACAAAGATTTTTTTACATGCCAAGCATTTGGTTTTAAATTTTGAGGTACCTATTTTAACCGGGATGTCTCGTCTCGTCTCGGTATCGTCCCGGAATTCCTACGGAGGGCTGAAAATTGTCCCAGTTTTTATTGCGAACCGGTACAGAGCCTGTTGTCTCGTCTCGGATAAAAAAAAAAACCAAACGCAGGAGTTTACCGGGGGCAGTGCATAAGTGCTCCGAACCTAAGTATTCAATCAATCTATCGATCCATCAGCAGGCAGTCGTAATATTTTCGTTCGGTTCAGGTTTTAACCGTTGACTCAATTTCGTCTCAATCAATAATTTTAAAAACTTATTTTAATATCCATACATATATTTGTACAAGCATCGACCAAGAAGCTATTTTGCTTGAATACATGAATGGACAAAGAATAGCTTGTGTTCAAATATGAAATCAGAACCGATTGAAATATTTGAGGAAACGATGACTCGTATACCACGATAGGAAGGTCAATTAATCTTGGTTGAAGTCTGACTGAATGATCATCAATCGACTGGCAACAGTCCGCTTGGATGGTAGATGAAATGGTTCACAAGTAAAACAATCCATTGAACTATAATATATTTATTACAATTAATGTGTTTATCTGTTTTAAGCCTGACAGTTTTCGTATCGGGATTTTACCTGGGCCAAATGTTTTTTTTTTCTCAAGGGGAAACTGTAAGTTTTAGCGTCAGCCTGACTATATCCTGTAACTTTTTACCTCCTGGAAACTAGTCAAAAACGTGAATCGACGACCGGCCAGACCGGGCCTAATCTTCTACGCCGAGACTATTATACAATTTACTATTCGGTGCACTATATGCAATACACTACGTACTGTATGCTTTACACTACTGCGGTGATTCAGAATAATGTGATGCTACTGTTGCAGCCGCTGATTTGAAGGAGCCACAACCACAATGACATTCCTGCTTAATGTACGCCTCAACAGCCTGAACTGTTAAAGAGCCGTTACAAAATAATTAGATGAAACAATATTGACTAATCTTCCTAAAAGACGATTCACCAGCACACAAAATTTCCAAAGAAACGAGCCAATTCGAAGTTCTTCGAAGATGCCATAAAAATATGATCTATCACACGAGCAATGTTAATTATCTTATTATTTATTGCAGCAATGTAAATTATCACAATAAATACTACATAAAACAGCACGCTCCCGACGACTTCTTGAACTCGAGGGGGTTCGGAGCGGCAGCGGCAAGAGCCGCCGCTTCGAACACTTCTTTGAGACCTTCCTGGGTGAGCGCGGAACACTCCAGGTACTGCAGCAGGCCTTTCTTGCGACACAAATTCTCGCCCAGTTCGGAACTTAGACCTTTAGTTCCTCGGAGATCTTTCTTGGTGCCTTCCGAATACGAGAATCATTTAGACAGACTGAATTTTGACAGTGTTATCTGACAACGATTTTCGGAACAAACATGACAAAAATGGCAAAATTTTAGAAGATGCGACGACATAAATGACAAAAATTTAGGTTTTGAAAACGGTTTAGGTTGTAGCTACAGGCTACGGGCTCAAGCTGTATGTTCTGTCGGGACAAGGTGAGGTTCCCGACACTTGTTAATAATTATAATGATGAGATGAAGTTAGATAAATTACGCTGATTAGATTTGTTTGTCATCGCTTCGTCCTGTTTGCTATGGATAAATTTGCTGACTCACCAACTAGAATAATGGGAGTCTTGTCGCTGTGCGCTCTCACTTCTGGTATCCACTTTGCTGAAATGTTTTCGAAGCTTGACGGGGAATCGAGACTGAAGCACAATATGAACACGCTTGTCTGTCAACGAATATCAGTAGTAAGGAAGAGAGCCTATCATCACAGTTTGCATAAACAACTTAATAGATTAACGACCATTTCCCCCATTAGAAGATGACCACTTACCCCCGATTAAAACCTGATTCCCTGATAAATCCAGCACTCCCATTATTTTTTTAACAACCACCGTCAGTAAAGTTTGGAAACCATTCGTTTCCTAGAGCGAGCAAAACCGTTTGATTCAACGGATTAATTTAATTCGAGGCCGATCCATCTACAATTTCTACATGAATCATCGCTTTGCTCGGCATATTTATCTATTCAATGTCCATCTATTCGATATCCAATTTAATTTACCCGTCGCTAACCCATTTATCCCCAATTCACCCATTTAGCCAATTTGAATTTACCCCAGATGTCGGAGCTGACATTGAATCATTTTCTCGAGCATTTTTGTTATTCGTTTCTAGAAACAATACCGGTATGACTCGTTCGTTTAATATCCTTCTATGGCGCAGCGTAGCGAAGAACCAACTTTTTATTTGTTAGCCTAGCGGGGATGACTAAAAGGAATGTGACTACTGGGAATGATAGAAACTTGAGTTGTTCGGTATTGAAAGCACGACAACTATAGACACTGGCAATCACCAACCTGAGAATATACCGGCTTAGTAATGATACTCGTGACTACGTCGGGCAGCAGTAGGAAGTTCGCTTGTTATTAATTATCAGTTACACAATTAATGGAGACCGACGGCCACTAACCTGAGGATATGAAAGAGGCCGTAACCTATCGTAATCCTCTTGGCCAGCGCTGACCCAATAAGTAATGACGTAGGTCGTGTCTCCGATGATCTCTTCGTGTTTGTATTGCTCGAACACAATCGGCACATATTCCTGCACAACAAGAAATCTTTATATTTACCATTTAATCATAGATTTTCACATGCACCTAGGTCAATTTTCAGGATGTTCGCCAATTCACGAAAACAGTAAATCACTTTAGAAATTCGTTCGTTAATCTCACGCATTCTTCTGTTTCACGTGCAGGTGAGTAGATCTGTTTTTTAGTTTTGGAAAAAGTTTTAATAAAATCCAATATAAACAATTGTTGGGTAAATTTTTATGTCGTGAAAAAAAAAGACTAGCGGTCATTTGCGTATGTTCGTCGTTCATGACCTAAGACAAACACTTTCTTGCAATAACAACACTCAATACAAGATTCACGTTAAAACTTGAATCAGTTCAGTTTTGGGCAAGTAATTCCTGATAAGTAATGTTCGAACGATCTGTTAGCACTAATTCTGTAGGCAGATTCTTTAACTCAGAATGATCACATTTGTATCATTATACAGGCAGTTTGATAACAACAGAACAAGATTTCTCGCTGCCACAGATGAAATCGTACCTCTGGGAAGACACCCACTATGTAGGTGGTAAGAAGACAATTCTTGCCAACGGCGCCGTCGCCCACGACGTTTACCTTCATGTCTTTGCCCGTGGCTGGACATATGGTCTTCCTGGTCATTGTGGAGGAACCGGGGCCTTTGTCCATGCTGGTCTTGTTACTAATGTGAATATGTATGTAAAATCTTGTAGGAATATCGATTGCAACGATCGAAAGATGTAAAAAAAGTAAATCACAATTACAGAGCTCATATATTTAAAAAAATGTATTCTGAAGAGTTCAAAATGGGGAAATCGCATGGTTTATTGGTTGCATTAGTATAGAGAGTGAAACGAGACAATTATTTGCTGTACACTAGCGTTTGTGAAGTTAACTTTCATACAGGGTATAGATACACACACAAAATCTGGGTGGGTCTCGTTTGTAGCTCAAGCGTTTAGGCCACCCACTGATTTCTTAACGCCAGTTACTCCTGAATGTAGCACGTCGATTTTTTTGTGAAATGCAACCAAGCAGCCGATTAAATCTATATCGACGGAACCAGGTCATCTCAGTAACATATTCTTCATCATTTATGCATCTCTCAACCAACTGCATATATAAGCACATAGTTCTTGCGGTAATGGCTGTGTTAAATAGCAACCTTCCGCACTACTGCGGAGCCGACGTTTACAAAGTCTAGCTGGGAATTTTCACTGTTCCCTTTACCACGTTTTACTGATTCTTTCAGATTATTAAATACTTAGATTGTTACTAAATGATAGTTAGGCGTAAACCAAAAACTGTTTAGGCAAGGGGCTAAATGGACCAGTTTCCAGTGCTCCTATAAGAAGTAACAAGAAGAAAAAGAAGAAAGTCTAGCTGTGTGATCGTGATTACTAACGATTTGTCTGCTAGCTGTGCGATTCGCGCATGCACAACCTACATTAATTTGGTAAGCTTTAGTTGTCCTTAGTTTCATTTATTACTAGCGAATTCCCTCAAATTTGAACTATGTCGCTATAAAAATCTTGTCAGTTCTTGTACTATGTTTGTGTATTGATTTTTAGCAACAGGTTAAAAAGTATCTCATCACCGCGTGTTCTTTTACTGTTCACTGGACATCGAACTATCACTTCGCATGCCTATCAACGCTCAGCTATCCCAAGCCCAAACGTGACTTAGCTCAATTAGCTGGGCGCTGAAATTGGGCTCTTGAAAAATTGTGCAGAGCATAGACCATAGATGAACTAATATGTTCAGCCAACCTGGAATCATCACTTTATACTCTGTTTATCGCTCAACTATCCCGAGCCCAAATCTTACTCAGCTCCATCAGCTCTGCTGTCCTGGAAAGTTATTGAGAGCATAGACCATAGTTGATAGTATGAAACATAATTTAACAGACCATAATTAAATTGAAAATGTTTGAAACGTTTCGTAAATGAAGAAGCTTCGCTATAGAGGTGAGATAGATAAATTAGTAAAATTACCGGTAATAAAGAAATTTCCGCTGGCCGGAAATACACGGCGGCACGACAATGCAATGAGTAACTACGTAAAATAGAGTCCAGAAATATGCTGCACTGCGCATTCGTAACTGCGGGCCCTGATTTTTCATGTCGACCTCAAGTGTATCATAGACTACGAGAGAAGATAAGTATGATTTATACTAGAGGTAGTGAGGTTCTCTTCATCAAGCAATGAAAACGATAGACTTCTCGATTACGATAGCATTTAAGAAATGCCTTATGTAATTTTCATGCAGATTAGTATCATGCAGATTTTCATACAGATCCTTCCATTTGAATACGTTTGTCTGTACCGAAAGAAACGTATTCAAAGTTTATGTGGCATGATTTTCAAGATTTATGAACGAATATTTTCATTTTGTCAGATACATTTTCCACCGCACAGTGTATTTCAGTACACATTCAATCTGATGCATTATGCTACCATTAATAATCTTATCTGCCTCGCCGGTTGTTGCCGCATAAGCTGCTATTTCCTCCTACAAAAATATAGAGTTCGACAGTTTAAACCAAATCTGTTTTACTCAAACAAATCACTTTCGTAAGGAGATCTGCATGAAGATGTACAGAATGCAATTACTTTCTTACGAAGTTAACTTCTATTGACCGATTACCGAAACAACTTATTCAACAATTAACGGTCAATAGCCTGGAAATCGAACAAATCACTCAATTTGAAACATTTAATTATTGTTCTCAAAACCTAAAAATCGATTTAACGAAAAAAAATTTACTTACAATTGCTAGGACCTTTTTCTAATATACAGACAACCAGCGATAATAAATTTATAAGAAATGAATGGGGCTAATAAATGATTTACGCTCTTTTTAGTGTATCTTGCTTAAAGCTACATGTAGTCAAACTTGAAAGCGGAACTAAGTCCGATCACTTTCACGAAAACTTTAAAATGTCAATGAACGATATGGTTTCGAAAATAAGAACACGAAAAACATCGTAAGGTAAGATGTTTTCGGGAGACCACAGGTCTTCGTCCGGTGAGTGGATAGTGCTTTCTCCGCAAGCTTCTACAAAAATTCACTTTATAGCAGCGATAAGATAACGAGTTATCTAAATTAAGTCGACTGAGCTCACTTCTAAACTGAAGCCAATGTGTGATGGCGCAACCCGCATTACGATCGCTAGGATGTTTTTCTACATTCAAATGTAGCGTTCCACATAGCGTGAAGTGCGTCAGACTTGTGGGGAACGGAGATATAACGCATAAGAGGAAGGAATTCTTGATTTTAAGCCGCTCTTAAAAATTTCTATTAATTGAAAACTATTAGGGAAACATGGAACCGACGACCCCTATAAGACGTTCAGGCGCTCCGCATAACCGCTTAACTTGGCAGTGTTTGAAGCTCAGCTCCTGTCTGTTGAATTTATGTTGTGAGGTATGGTATGCTTACATTTTGCACAGGGCACGTCCATTGGTCGTGTCACAGAGCATGTCTATTGGTCATGCGAAAAATGTGAAGCTGATTGCAAGGGAGAAGCCATGTGTGCTAGAGCTAAGTATTTTAGAGTTCAATATTGTAGCCTGACGGGATGTACTTCTTAAGGCCCGTTTACACTAGGGGCAATACACGAGAATCAAGTGCCTCAAAGCGCATGCAGAGGCGCTTTGCAGCCTCTGCATGCGCTTCTTGACCGATTGACGAGCTAGCGATTGACAGGGGCCATGCCTCATGCAACACAAGCGCGGCGCTTAGTAGATAGCTATTAAAGAATTAATATCACTTGTATGCTTAAATCGCAAATTAACTAAGAATTTAAATTAAATTAAAAATGTAAATCAAATTAAAAATCTAAATTAATTAATTAAAGAAATTCAATTCGTTCTATGGTTTCAAAGTATTAATTTGTGATTCTAGATTCTACGAACTGACGATGGAGCTGGTCTCCGAAACGTTTCTATAAAGATATGAATTTTTGTGGACTATTCTTTGCTTATAAATTCTTAGTTAGTAGATAGCTGTCTGTGGTCTAGTAAGGTTGATTGTGTACGCTGGTCCGGCACACCAAATGTCAACTAACACCACTCTCGTTTGGAGTCACTCTCTAGTAGAGCGCCTAATTGATCTTTATATAGAGAACAGGAATGCCTATGGACTATGGAGTGTTCGGTCAAAGGAGTACAAAAATCGAAATGCAAATGATGCAAGTTATTTTTACATGACGTGTTTAGTTTATGTGATTTTAGCAACTCCTGACAATTTATGCATTACCTTTTAGCGATTTCAAAGGATGAGATAATATCGGTACGAATATTGGAACTTTTTAATTAAGAATAGACTATGTTTTTTATAAAGTGTGTCTTTTTGAATCTGCTAGTTCTCTAATTATGATACCTATGCTAAATTCTCGTTTAAAACTGGCATAGTGCGAAGAATGACGGACAGCAGCACACCCGAGAACAATGGGCCACAGCTCAAATTCGGTTACATCCATCCTCATTGACGTCTAGGTGGCAACTAGTGTTCAAAGCGCGCGGTCTCAAACTACCGAGTACAAAAGTAGTGTGAACGGTTGTTCGCGGTGAGGCACTGCAGCAAACGACTCAAAGCGCATGTCGTTGCCACTAGTGTAAACGGGCCTTTAAAAATTACGCAAGCGGGTTCCTTCTCAGTATCTCATAAATAGCTATTCCTTATAACACGCGTGGCCATGGAACGGAACCAAGTTAATTGTTGAGTTGGGGAATTTTAGTTGGGGGTGGCCCAGTGGTTACAGTTCAGAGTACCATGATTAGAGCAGAGAGATGCAGATTCGAACCCAGTTCCGTGCGCCAGTTTCTGGTCAGAATCGGCGTGGAGGCCGGGCGGTTAAGCACAGCAGAATTGTACGTAGCAGTGAGTTGCGAGTTCGAGACCGCAAAATTCTGTAAATATATTCTGTGATGTCAAGAATCGGCGACAGACCTACGGCCTAATAAACGCTGAAACCGCTATTATTATTATATTATTATACACGCAGCTCTTACCTTGGGTATATTCCACGGACGCTGCGACTCCGATTAGGCCAGTAAAAGGCGCGTGTGTTTATAGCAACGTATGGCCATAAAAGATGTCAAACAAAACACTAATAGACACTAACCAACCTGAAGTTAATTTGACCTTCGTGTTGTCTTTCCATCTTATATACATCTATTCATGGTTCCGCGCTCGTCTCACGTCACTTGCTTTGACCCCGAGATCGCTTTCCGAAATTTTCTCTATTTTTACACCGAATCCTTAACAACTTGTGGGCTTATGGATGCCCATAATTTATTTCTATTACATCTCCCGCTCATAGAATGGCGTCGATGTAAGTGCACGCGCACGTTTGTTAAGTCATATGATACGATACTTAACAAAATTTTGAGCTTACAGAGTTCCGTTGTAGTTAGATAATTTCATTGTGTTTATGACACATGGTTTATCGACAAAAAGATGCCTTTATTTTTACTTCATCATATTTAAAAATCAGAGGCTACTTGAAGGACAGCAAAAACTCAATGCCTGGAGCTTCATGATATAATTTTAAATAATCATCATAACATAAATAATTAATATATAAGCTGTTAACTGGCAGAACCAACAACTGATGAACGTTCGGTTTTGTATTCAGGACCCACAAGTTTTTATTAAATATTCAGGAATGTGATGTTGGGATGGCGCTGCTTGATACGGTGATGGCAGTGCCTTTCCAGATGACTGGCATTATTTAATGTACCTTAGGTTATACACACCAGGGCCTATACTCTCAAAACTCGCTAAGTGAACGTAAGTACTTACGCTCTATTTTCTTGTCTATGATTGGTGGATTTTGCTTGAACTGCCGTCAATGATTGGCTGATGAACTTACGATCTCTTAACTTTTTTTGAAAGTATAGGCCCAGGTCTTCAAAATTTGGATATTCTATGTCGACGTGATGTTTTAGTGCGGTTCACCTTATTCTTTTATTCGTCTGTTTATTAAGATTGTTTTATTCAATGGACGACGTTGTGGGTGCTGGGCATGACTCTTCTCGGCGTAAATATCATGTCACCTCACAACTTTTGGAACAAATTAATACTAATTTTATTCGGTGGTTCAAACGACATCGATGATAAAACTTAGTCCATGATTTACGGTTTTTATTTCATTATTACGTATCATCAAGGTTTTTATTAATTTCATTCACTTCGCTGCGCAAAATTTGTTGCTAGATATGTAAAATGTCCCCACCCATATTAGACTCCCCAACATGAGCAGACGCTGAGACTGCTGTCGTCAGTTGCCTAGTTTCGCTAGTCTTGTTCCATGTCAAGTGACACACGCTTCAAATTTTAGTTTTGTAATCCTACGGTGGAAAGTGAAGTACGAGAGTTGAAGATAATTTGTTTTAAATGTTAAACATGTTAATTTTGAATATTTTTTGACTTTCTTACATTAGTAAATATTTTCGACTTTCTTAGTTTTACTTAAAGGGCTTAAAGTGAAGTTTGTTGGAAATCTCGACACCGGCTCTAAAATCGACACCGGAAATCTCTCGAACTCTAACTTCCGGTTTTCTGAATCAGCAACGAAATGCTGATTCTACAAATTCGGCAAACTGGCACCAGATTCCATGGAATCGGCAATTCCGCGATTTCTGCTCGACATGTACATAAATCACAACTCGTGATTTGATGATACGATCGTTGACGCAGTTATCATACATGAAAAACATAACGAGCAGTACAAGACGAGGAGACTATTCACTAAAATACTAAGACACCGGCAGTCGACAAACACTTATTATAGAGAATTCCGTTTAAACATTCGTACACAGTAAAGATGGTCCGCGTGGTACCGAGCATATATTCATGCTACCTCATTATATAAAACGGTTTTCAAATATGTACACTAATAAATGCTCATCTTCACAGAAAGCCACGATAGAAGGCACCGATTTCTTGTTTACACAACTCAAAGATATTGAGATATTGAGTTCGTTTCTCATCCACTTGACATTTAGTGGAAGTTTAAGTAAAATTGCAGAAGTCTGCATTTGGAAATCTACGCATCAAATCAAGTATACATTTCTGAAGGGATTCACGATTTCTGTCCAGAAACTGGTTTCAAAACACAGCCCAGTTAAAGAAAGTAGAAATCAGCGATGCTTGACTTCAATATATCTTTTATGATCACAACAAGATCTGTACATGAGGTGCATACATGTTACAACTATAAATATTTTTATATTTATGGTACATAGCAGTCGCAGCACAGCCAGATAGGAAGACTACAACTGGGAACAACAATCACGGGCAATTATGAAGTAAGCATGTGTGTTATTTTCGAGGAATTGAGGTTAAATCACACTGCAAGTTAATCCTAATCTAAGCAAATTTCTCTCAAAAATATTAGAATTCAGCATTGAAGGTCAATGCCTAGCTGGCAAGCTCTCGCAAGCGACCAGGGCACTATGGTTCCACAATTTGAAACAGTCACACACACTTGGTAAGCGCGAGTGCAGATAGCGCCTCTGCCAGACTTGTGTTGACGCTGCTGTGGAACTAAGTGCGCAATTACAACAGTAACGACATACCGACTGAGAATAAGTATTTCCAAAACTAGCAGTAGGGCCAGCTATAGTTTGCATGAGACGTTGACATAGCAATAAGACTTCGAAAAGTCGTCTTTATGCAGTTTGGACTTGGATGTTTAGAGAGAAACATACCAATAAATTTTTCAGTTCCAAGGTCCGATAGGCTGCAACTAAGTCACAATTGCAAAAAAAGCCCCAGTAGCCATCCGTTTCATAACCGACGAAAGAACAACTACAACAGCGCGACTCCACATCAACGGTTGCGGCGATGCCAAAACCCAAAATTGCATCACCGTTTGCTTGCCACAGAGAGGCAACAGTCACTCCTAAGATCACGCTTCGATGTCAAGAACAAGTGCCAATTAAGAATACCAACCAATAGTAAATCTTCCGCAGATACCATAAAAAATTACTGTTACATGAAACTCCACCGAAGCAAGCAAATACTGCCATGGTAATGATTAATAAAGACTACAAAATACTGCAAGTTTTTGAGCTCTTTTTGAACTCGCCGGCAGCGGCAAGAGCCGCCGCTTCGAACACTTCTTTGAGGCCTTCCTGGGTGCGTGCGGAACACTCCAGGTACTGCAGCAGGCCTTTCTTGCGACACAAATTCTCGCCCAGTTTAGGACTTAGACCGTCAGTTCCACGGCAGTCCTTCTTGGTGCCTGCCGAACACAAAAACTTGTAGAAAACTTATAGGTAGTAAATTGTCTGATAAAATGTGTAATACTGTAGCTGAGTCTGAATGGCAAAAAACAAAAAAAAAAAAATTGAATAACACTAAGAATATTGCAGGATAAATTATGATAGGATTCTGTAACTCAAGATAGCAAGTATGAAATAAGATGTATAAAGAAATAAATTAATAATGCACCTATTAATTCAAACTGCTAAAATAAAAATATATACATTAGATATTTAGGAATGCAAAAATGTGTACCTATATATCTGTAAATTTCGCAATATTTTTATTACTCTTACTATTAGTTTCCTAGTATTACTCTTTTAAACTGCTGCCGTGTCCACCATTACTACATACACAGCAATACGGTCACTGTTGTCTACTCGTGGTCGTGAGAACAACGCTAAGTATGGATGCTTGTAAGATGGTAGCAGAGGTGGGGGCCTCCTGTTTGGCGCGAGGGCAGCGGGGGGGGGGGGTGAACGAGA